ACTTAAGGAACAGTTACCACACCCAACCAACCCCTGCCACTATCACCAAAGCCAACATAGGAAGTGAAGCATCTACGTCAACAAGTGTTCTGTAATATAAGGAATGACACATTAAACCTGTGATTTGTATTAACTAAAATAAAAAGTATATATATTTATATAATAAAAAAAAAGAAATTCCAACCTTGTACAAAGAGTTTGTATAGCTGCAACCATACCAGTGTATTGTCACTGCAAGATATCTGGGGAGCTCCTATGTTCTGCTAGCACTGACATCTTATGCTTGACCAGTACAGTGCTACAGTCCTGGAGGTGGAAGCTGGGTTATGCTACTTGCTTTCAAGGCTTTTTGACCACCAAAAAAAAAAAATATGAGCACTTCTTCTGCATGTTGCTGGTGCGGTCATGGTGAATAAGTGGCCATTTCCAGGGATACCCTCTGCCACAACTCCTTGGTCTGTTTGCCCCTCTTCAGATTCTGCAGAATGTCATTGAACTGCATGGCTCCCAAAGGGGTGAGACAGAATGCACTCCGTGCGCTGCGGATGGCATTTACAAAGTCGTCGTAGTCCGCTGGGGTAAGGTGTATTAAGCGATGGTGGATGTACTGAAAGACAACAGATTTATTACTTGTGGTCATATACATACATACATATTCTTCTCATCTATAGGAACTAGTGTGTTTTCAGTATAAACTAAAATGTCACTCATTCCTCTGTTGATATTGTTAACAACACCCTAGCACACAGGGGTAGGGAACCTCTGGCCCTCCAACTGTGGTGAATCGACAAATCCTGTGCTGCATCTGGCTCTGGGAGTCTTGCAATGTCTCATGGGATTTGTAGTTTCAGCACAGCTGGAGGTCCCCATCCCTGCCCTAACATAAGAAACTGCACGACCCAACCTGGAAATACTTTGAGTTGGACATAAACCTGAAAAATAGAATTTCCCGCCCTTGTCTTGGTAAGCCTCCAATTTCCGTGTAGACCTATCCACAGGTCCATACAGTCTTTCACAGCACCAGCATTGGCTACATGGCCAGGCGCAATCTGCACAGCCCCTTCCGGAACCCATCAAGGTTGCAAGATCTTCTGACATTTTAGAAACAAGCTTTGCTATAGTCTTTTTCTGATCTACCCCACACTGGTAAACCAATCCTGTGCTCTGGCAATGTAGAATAAAGGCGCCAGGTTCACAATTGGAACATTCCCACCCAATGTTTACAGTCACTTCCTTGCTGGTTTGTTCAGCCACTAGGTGCACACTGGGCAGCAAACCTACTACTGCTTGTTCCAAAGATCACATGACTTCCTCCTAGCTTCAATTTTCCATACTGCTGATTGGTTTATGGGAGGAAGTAGAATGAGCTGGTGAGGCTGCCACTAAAGTGAACCTGTTGCATTGTCCTGAACAACACAGATGTCACTTCAATTTGCAGCTCAAATGCTACCAAAACACTCCTTTTACAACCCCCTTCCATGGCTTAGATGCAGATCATTGAATATTCTCACTGACCTGGCCAGAGAGTGTACATGACGTGGTGATCAGTCTCCCACTTCCTTATGGAATTCCTTCATGGTCCAGCCATAGAGAACAGTACATGATGTACACGTTTTACGCTGGTTACAAGTTAGTCATGATCATCCATGACGAGTTAGAAGCCACATCATCAGGCTGGGGCACTGAGAAGATCTACATGTCTGTTTATTCATGAATAAAGATGGTGGACAGGGGGAGTGATTTTTGTATGATTTTAGTTTTACACTTTAAAATCAACAAGCTCCCTCCAATAATGAACATTGAAATCCTTGCTCTGCGTGTTCAGGGTGAATAGAAGGATGTACACTGCAAGTCCTGCAAGAGATTCAGTAAACAGGCAGCAAAGGTCACCCTTGTTTCTGGCAACAAACCGCATACAAATGTGCCGGACGACTTTCCCATGAAATGAGGACATAGGCAATAGACTTCCCATATTTGTTATTTAGTCTTCTCCTGCTGCAGTGTGGGGACTAAACACAAATCCCCGATGGCAGTGCAGGTTTAGGGGAACATTGTGTCTTCCATATCAGGATCAGTTAAATGTTCTGTACATAAACATGTCAGAATGGAGAGCTTAATGGGCATTCCTCTGTGCCACCAGCACCACTGAACTGCTCCATACACCCAGCACTTGGCATGGAAGTCCATCTTTAAAACTGAAGGTGACCTGTACATCCTGACGTCTCCTCGGAGGTCAACAAGCCTGCAGGGTTCTACGAATAATATAATCTACTACAGGATCTTAGACCAAAAGATGTGACTTCCATACATAGCTGGAAGCAGAAACATTCGGCTACTGCTGCTTCGTATAAAAGTGATCTAGGCTGCTACTCGCCAGAACGCCAACAATACAACTTGTTCAAGGTATAATCAGGTAGTGCATGCTAAACCATCTCCGTGCACAATGACTGGATTGTTCCTCCACAGAACAGGCAGGAATTCTGTCACTCTTCATACACCACAATTTAGGAGAGCGAGCTGCATGGTGGACGCAGGAGCACGTCTCAAAGTACAGGATGGGTCTTATTCCCGTGCCTCAAGAGTTCAAGCATTTCAATCCACTGAACGTTTTAGCACCGAGATGACCGGAATTTAAAGGAGAACTATGAGGTGAGTGAAAATCATTCATCCTCATAGTTCGAGCCGACCTGTGACAATGAAACTGTCTCAGGTCGGATCAGTAGATCGGGAAGTGAGCGAACACATACCGGCGCTCGCTCCTCGATCATGTCCTTGCAGAGAGCCATGACTGTCACGGCTCCCTGCAGGGATTCCCCCCCCCCTCCCCTGTCCGATCCTCCAGCGCTGACTGGCGGAACGGACGTGGGAGGGGGCGGGTACAGCTGGCTCTGCCTATAGATAGGCAGAGCCAGCTGTCACTCACGCAGCTGGGTGGATCCAGTGTTTTGTCGGGCTACGTCCCGGCTGCGGCGTCTCAGTATACCGCCAGCTGTAGCTCGCAGTATACTGAGCTTAGGGTGACGGGAGGACGCTAGTTTGTGTCTTCCCGTGACCCCAAGGAGAACTATGGGGGAAAACACTGACCCCATAGTTCTCCTTTAATGCTTGTGTCATAGTCTGTGAGCTGTCCTAACATAACCAGCCGATTCATGAGAAATAAAGGCTCCCAATGGCTTCATATTTCATTATGTGTATAATAATAGTCTCTCTGTGCCATGTTTCTGCTTCGGAATTGAACACTTTGATAAGAAAATGATTATGAGAGAGAGAGAACAAATGCACTCAACTCTTACAGCTTAGTGACGTGACTCTAATGCAAGTCATTACTACACTAGTGACCTTTCTCTGGATATGGAAGAATACGCAGGGAGGGGAACTGATCAAAACTGGAGCAGACAGAATCTGGAGCAGTTGCCCATAATACCCAATCAGCTTCTCTCTTCAGTTAAGCTTTGTAAATGAAAGCTAGAAGCTGATTGGTTGCCATACACAGCTGCTTTAGTTTGGATCAATTCCCCTCATTGTCTTAATAGCGTACAGAAGAGAAGTATTACCTGCATGTAAGACTGTTGACAGCGCTGAACCAGCTGATGGAAGGCCGGGGTACGCAGGTGATTATGGATGTGGGCCGGGTTAAGTCGCTGAAGAGCTTCCATAATGATTTCCTGTAGGACAAATGGACTGAGCACACCTTTTGCTGCCCCGACACAGAACTGATGCACATAGTTCACACCTGAAACACAATGAAACAAGAACAAAAACAATCATATAGTGTTAAATATTAGTTTGACAGCTGACTCAATATGTAGCCAAGTGTCTGAGGCAAGAACGGCACCAACCAATTAGGTTCAAACCTGCACTGATGAATGACGGGGAGTGAACAAAACCGCTCTTCCACTGACACATAGAGCTTGTCCACCTTCTCTTGTGTTGCCTTGAATCGAGTCATTTCGGGGTTGTTTAACTGCTTGAATACCATGGACTCTTTAATCTCTGAACCCATGCCCAACAGGCTGCCCCCCAACCTACAGCCAATGTTTTTTGGGCTGACAGCCAAATCCGAGGTTTAAATACATGTATGTGTAGGGTTTTACGTGTCAAAGGACCTGTAATACTTGTCACTTGTGATTTATGGACGTCTCGCTGCACACTGCACAAGCAGACCGGTGACACGCTGATTTCCTGGCTCAACTTCCAGATCATCCCAGAAATCTGTTCCAGTAAATCAGGGCATAGCAGGGTGACCTTACTAACAGATATGTGTGTATGGCTGCCCAGAACTCCTCATACTTTGCAGGTAGAACAGTCAACGTATATGTATGTGAATTGTGTATTCAGCGATTTGCTTGGAACATTGCTTTCATGTAGGACTGACTGACTGACTGACTGACTGACTGACTGACTAACTAACTATCCATCCCCTTGTAAAATGTATCTGTTGCCTTCCATACCAGCACAGATCACCTGAGACCCTGACAGGGCATTCCCTATAACCGGAGGAATAGGAAATTGGGAGTGATGGCCACTGCAAAAGGATTTCAGTTTGAAATATGAAATGGGACATTTGATTGGCTAGTACGGCAGACCTTCACTTCTCCTTTCCTCCAGCTGCACAGAAATACACCCAAAGAGCCCGGTGAAGTCATTCTTTGATTAACCCATTAATGAACAGGAAGGACGTACAACACGTACAATGTCATTTCATTGTGACAAGCAGAACGCTCGCCATCGAGCACGAGCGTTCCCTGAAAAGGTCAGTTAACAGAGGATGCATAAACTTGGTCTCATTACAGCAAAGTGGTTGCTGCAATCGGAGAAGCTTGGCATGTATTGCATTCAGCACAGGATTCAATATTTCAGCTGCAGAGAACAAGGCGGCTCATCGTTCAGTGACTCCAGCCAATAATACATCAGCAAATGGCCTTACCTAGCTTGGCAGCTAAACTTAGCAGCCACTTGACATCTTCTGTATATGGGGGGCTTCTGGAGAAGTTATTGGGGTGGTCATTGTGAGCTCTGCGTCCCAGCATCTCTAATGCGAGCATCCCTGCAGACATAGCACATTTCATGTTAGTACCAAGTGCCAACATTAAACAGTTCACATCATGTACATTGTAAGAGAAGAACTGACTCATGTAGCATTACTTCTATACTGCGAACGCGTACCAAATCACTGAACATGGGTCACCAGTGTCATTCTCATACCTCACTTTTCTATTAACATGTACAGTGTGGACAAATTAGAACCCCTTCCAGTTTCTGGGTCTGTGTCCCTTTTATTTGTTTTGGTGACCACAATAGTCACAACAGAAAGTGACAGTAAACCCAAAATTGGACAGTTGTCACTAGAACAGGAGGTGATGGGAAATCTTTCAATGGGGAAACCTGTTCCGGTTCACTTTGTTTAATTTCTGGGACACAGAACCCAAACCGATGTTTAAACCCCAATCCATGCTTTCTCTAAAACAAACAAATGCTGGCTATACATACACGTTAACTGGTTATAAAATGGTGGCACACACTCATGTCAATATCAAGAATGCATTTGTTTTTGGAGAAGCAATAGGGATAATTATGGTTTCATGTCCTATAACAAAGAAGCTGGTGACAATTCAGATCAAGTCTCTCCAGTATCAGATATATATATATATATATATTCAGGATCACCCGAGGGTAACAAATCCCTCCAAGCAGGTTGCTGATCACCCCAGACAGACAATGGAACAAACATTTCCACTAGAAACCAGAACATACTTTACAACACAAACTGAATGGGCCTTGGCAGCAGGAGAACAAAAATGCATCAATACTATATGAAACGTATCAGGAAAACATTCCACAGGGGAGTAGATGGAAATGATCCAACAGCCAATTCATAGTCATGTTGATACAAAGTCTGTTTCTTCTTGTGTCATAATTCATTCATATACCACGTCATGAAGAGGCTGAAAATTCATCAACTGGTGGTGCTGCAAGGGGAATGTAGAAACCCCATTTCAAAATAACATTTTGTACTTCCCATTTCTTGGAGTTCATTAAGGAACAACGGATCAGATGTAAAATCAGAAGCAAGTGGCTTATACTGCCGCCTTTAGGAGGAAATGGACACCAGCAAACAAAAAAGTAATTAGCCAATCAGGTATAAGCCCTCCCACTCTCATCACGCTTCACTTTTGTAGAAGGGCAATATCAGGAGTATCAAGTCACAGAGATATATAAGCAACATGGTAGTTATATCATACATAGCATAAATGTTGAGCCTGAATAGGTGGCTAGATGAAAAAGGGCTAATCAAAAGAGAAAATCCTCATGTTGGGAGTACAAAGCAACCTGGAGAGCCACAAGTAAGGAGGAACACCACAAACTGCAACCTGGAGAGCCACAAATACGGGGGAACACCACAAACTGCAACCTGGAGAGCCACAAATAAAGAGGAACACCACAAACTGCAACCTAGAGAGCCACGAGCAAGGAGGAACACCTCAATCTGCGACCTAGAGAGCCACGAGTAAAGAGGGAGCATCAAAAACAGCAACCTGGGGAACCAAAAGTACGGAGGGAGCACCAAAAACTGAAACCTGGAGAGCCACAAGTACAGAGGGAGCACCAAAAAAAGCAACCTCGAGAGCCACAAGTACAGAGCACCAAAAACAGCAACCTAGAGAGCCACAGGTACGGAGGGAGCACCAAAAAAAAGCAACCTGGAGAGCCACAAGTACGGAGGGAGCACCAAAAAAAGCAACCTGGAGAGCCACTAGTACGGAGGGAGCACCAAAAACAGCAACCTGAAGAGCCACAAGTCGGGAGGGAGCACCAAAAACAGCAACTGGAGAGGCACAAGTAAAAAAAGGGAGCACTGAAAACAGCAACCAGGAGCTAAGATCAGGTCAGACCTATTAGAGACAGTGCAGGTCACAGCAGGCCACATATATCAGATGCTTCCAGGGATAACAATGATCTGTTCCCCGAAAACAGTGGTATAGTATGAGGCAAAGTAACCCGTTGTAGCGGGATCATCCTCTGTGATTTGTTACACTGGATAGCAGAAAGCAACAGACATATGAGATTTTAGTGATTGGGATTACATCTACTTTGCTGGTCACATAAAGCAATTATCAGGCAATTTCATGCACTTTCAACCAGCTTTAAGTACCAAAAACAACCTACCGCCATGAATTTGGGTCACTTCATAGTACCAATAAATATCTGTTAGTGGCAAGCTGAAATCGTCTACCTGGTTGTTTTTGTGATCAAAATGGTTGAAGGTGGTGTATATTGGCTGATAATTACTGTGAGTGGTCCCAGCATTAGCTTTCTGCTGCCCATTCCCGATGACACAGAATTAACCCATACACCACCCATCACTTGTACCTCCTTTAACCAACACCACCAATAGGCATGCTTTCCTTTGCATTTTTGTGACATTGTTGGATGTAGATTAACCTTACTACCAGCTGGGCGCAGACTTATTTGTTTCACGCGCTATTTCTTATTTTATGGGACCATGTCCTTCAGACAATGAACTTTTACTCATATCTCAGTTTGGTATTATTTTCGTTTTTCTCCTGTTATGTACGGTTTGTTTTTTTGTCAATAAAAATAACGATAACCAACACCACCAGTAGCTGCTAAGTCAAGAGAGTTGTGGATGGTGATCAGGCTAAGAAGATGATCATCATACTGGGGTGGAGCTCTCAGGTGCTCATGAGTTGTGAATGCGAGCCTGTGGCTATGTTCACCTGTTGGGGGTGCCAGTACTAGGGAGTTGAGTATCAGTGGAGAGAAAGAATGACCTGTTACAGACCACCATATAAGAAACGGTCCAGAAGTGTCAAACAGAACCACACCGGTCAAGTCCCTTTTTTTATTATGTTGGGACCAAGAATCTGAATGCGGCAAAGGGTGGAGGCGAATCCTTGTTTCTAGTACACATAATAACAAATGGATTTGTAATTATGGTTCCATTTAATACTCCGGCAGTGCAGATTTATGGACAATGACCGATCAGGGGAGTCTGTACAGGTTTCAATATATTTGCCTGGCTCACATTGTGGGGGCCTGGAGCAGAGGGTTGTCAGTATAGAGTCCTGTTGGAGAAACTGTCTTGTAACTGCCTTACTGCTGAGTGGGAGCCATTGGCACAGGGAAAGACCAACCTCTCCCTAGCCCTGTAGCCTCTGTTTCTACTCTAGTGGTGAAAGTACATGACAGAGTCAGGGTGGTGCTTATGATTCTGGAAGGAGTGATTCAGTTTTCCTTAGCATGAGTCTTTAATATGGATGCGCTCAGGTTTGGACCGAACCTGATTTGAACCAGAGCTCATGCAAACACAGAAGTTACATGGGTCTCCCGCTGAGGCAGGGCACTCCCTGCCCCGCATTGGATCATAAACAAAGAGGCGGGATGCTTGTGCTGACTTCATTTATCTTATATGGTCACATGGCAATATTTGGAGAATGTAATTTACCTAATATAGCCATGTAGGCAGTATAAGTTCAGTGATGTCACTGCACCCCACCCCTTTGCTTATGTCAAGCTGTGAGTATGGAACTCCCTGTTCGCAGCTGACTGAGCCGCATGGAAGGAGCTTTCTTCTGTATTTGGGAGGAGCTCCTTCCAGGTCCAAACATGAGCTCATCCATAGTCTTACAGGCTTAAAGGAGAACTATGAGGGGAGTGCTTTTCACTCACCTCATACTTCTAGCCGACCTGTGACAATGAGACTGTCACAGGTCGGCTCAGTAGATCGGGAGGTGAGCGAACACATACTGACGTTCGCTCACCTCTCGATCCTGTCACGGCTCTCTGCCGTGACAGGGGAGGGGCTGGATTCCCCCCTACCCGCTCCGATCCACCAGTGCTGACTGGCGGAACGGACGGGGGAGGGGGCGGGTACAGCTGGCTCTGCCTCTAGATAGGCAGAGCCAGCTGTCAGTCACGCAGCTGGGCAGATCCCGGCATAATTGTCGGGATCCGCTTCAGCTGCGGCGTCTCAGTATACCGCGAGCAGCAGCTTGCGGTATACTGGGGCGTCTCAGTATACTGCGAGCTGCAGCTCGCGGTATACTGAGCCTAGGGTGACGGGAGGACACTAGTTTGTGTCCTCCCGTTACCCTCAGGAGAACTATGGGGAAAAGCCTTAACCCCATAGTTCTCCTTTAAGGAAACATTTTACATCTGGAGAACTGGCCCAGTAGGATTGGCATCTTCTTGGTTAGCCAGGCTTTGCACTGTACACTTATATCTAAGGGGTGTGTTTTGTAGATCTATAGAAAGAATCAGTTTGATGATCTACTGGTACTATTGATATTCAGATCCTCCCCACTAAATTAGTAATAGTGACAAATGAAGCAATCTGTTACTTCAAAAAGAAACCATGAACATTAAACATCATCAAATTAACCCCCGCATGGTCTCGATGAGTCGGTAAATATGTCCCGTTTCCTATTCCTCATCCTTTCATATGGCTGGATACCCCAGGAGAAAACAGTTCTAATACATACATAAATAAGGATTCAGACATTCATTCGCATAAGACCTGCCTGATCATACCAGCTACACACATTGTTTTATTTACATGCTTTCCTACAAATGGTCTGCCTGCTTTACATCCAATTCAGACCAGTAAACATGAAGGGTTTGTGGCAGGCCAAATATACTAAACCTTCTCAGGAAAGGAAAAACACTTAAATAAAAACATGATGCAACCAAAATAACTGCTACGCTTATTATATTATCATTTTCCTTTCAGTCTGGAGCCAGCTGATTTTCTAAAGCTGCTGTAAAATTCAGAAGTCGCTCCCCTGTATCTATGACAATCACCATAACATTGGGAGTGTCTCTACATAGGAAATATCATTTTCTGCTCATATGATTGGCTTACAGTCTCATCGGAACAGCAGCAGATGTGTGCTACATTCCCATTGGAGCATCCTTCTCATAGTCATACTGCAGCACAACGCAAAGCTGTAAATGGACCTCATAGAAAATAATGGGATTCCCTTTGTCATGCATTGTCACATGATGGCTGATGCACTTTAAATCGTACAGGAGTGTATGTGCACTGTCCCTCTACACCAGGGGTGTGGGACCTCCAGCTGTGGTGAAACTACACATCCCATGATGCATCTGTCTGGGAGTCATGCTTACACAGAGGAGCAAGTCACAGAGCACCCCAAGTACTGTTCTATGATCAGATTGCAGAAAGCATCTCCTCTATTAACATTTTACTTCGTTTACTTAAGGCAAATGCATAGCAGGCTAGTAAGAAAAGCTAGTTAAAGATTATTTGTTTCTACCAGGGCTTCTATATTCCCCCCATTTCCTGGTAATATAGGAAAACTTGCAAATGTAACCTCAGATCGTGTATATGTAACAAATAGCTTTCGAATGAGGATTCCCTCCTTCTTAAAGGATGTACTTCACCCAACAGAAAAAGTACAGTAGTGCAATGGGTATGTTTGTATCCACACAATACAAATCCTAAATTAGCCTCTAGATCAGGGGTGCCCACAATTTTAGTGTTAATACCTACTTTTCAAATGACGAGCTACATGAGATCTACCAACTAAATAAAACCTCCCTCGCTCTCTCTCCTTGCACTCTCTCTCCTGGCTGTCTCTCCTGGCTGCCCCTCCATGCTCTCTCTAAAGTCGCTGCTCTACAATATTACAGAACACCGGAAAGCTAGACCTCGTATTTCTCCTCCTTTGGTGCTCAGTCTTCTATCCTAAAGTCGCTGCTCTCATGCTGTCGGTCTCTGCCTTCATGTGCCAGGCGCAGCAGATGGGGAGGGGCTAAACAGACCGTAGGAGGGTTCTCGGGATAGTGAGCCCACTTACAATCGTGATTTACCAGCATCAGCTTTGTGAGCTACTGGTAGATCACGATCTACCTAATGGGCACCCCTGCTTTACATTATCAGCATCCATGATACCAGTTTATAAAGCATGCTGAACCTTCTCATTAGAAAGCCCAGCATTGTCTGCATCCTTAGAAGCACCCCAAACCGTCAGATGCTTGCTTAGATTAAATTTCCTAGAAAGCAGAAGGATGGCTAACACCTACTGGGAATCACCCTGCCCAGTGTGTAATAAGACTTCCCTGCTATTTAAATCTATTTCACTAATGTCGGTGATACTGGAGCCTCGGCTTGCTGCTCGCCGACTAGAAGTGGAAAATAAGTAAAATTTATGTGCAGTGCATCATATTTACCCCATTTGAAATTTAAAAAAATAAATATATTTATTAGATCTGTGTAATAAAGACGGAATTTATAGACAAAACTACTATACGTTTGATTAAAAAAAAGCATACAGCTACACAATGTTCATATATTAAATCTCATGCAAATGGATCAAAAATGAAGAAGTGCCTCTTTCTGTCCTCCCAATCATCTTCTCCTATCACGTCAATACACATTTGGGGCACCTCTAAAAACTAACTGACAGCTGATAATGGTTTACTGACCAGCAATAGTTCTACTCTCTTGTTTTGGTGCAATAGAATTGGTTACATTTTTAGTTGCATTTAAGTAATTTAACATAAATATAGATCATATAATTGTAGTGGTTATTCCATACAGTAGATAAAGGATAACAGTGCTCTCCCCTGGAAATAAAATCGTACTTACCAACACGATAAGCTGAGTGGAGGTAGTGTAATCCTTGTGGGCTGACTGGCTGACTGTGCTGCTCGTCCTCAGCAGGGAAGCCTCCTGGGACCATTGGGGCAGGTTGGGTGCTGATTGTAGTCATGGTGGTCCCTGGGATTGCAGGAAAGGTGGTTCCTGTGTGAACGCTCCCTACTGAAATCAGAAACGTTAGGACGTGAACAGATGTCGGTGGCAGAAGTGATTTCTTCATTTAACTAACAAGAAAGATCCATCTTTGCATCACCATTTTTGGCATTCTCCACAGTCCTCCTTATACCACTGTTTACATGAACCGCGCAGACTAAATCCATCCATTCAAAGAAAATATCCCCCACAGAAATAGGTAAAGAATTAAAATAACAACCCAATAAATATCTGCAACTAAACCATGACCTATAGTTCATACAATACATGGTGACTGTAACACTCTAACCCCCCTGACATGAGCGGTTTATCCTTACCATCAATGCTGTTTCCATGAAGGTTTACCACAGTACCACAGTGAAATTGTCGCCTCCAACCTAATAAAGGGACAGGAAATCAAAAGATTACAAGCTCCACCCCTTCTCCCAACCTCCATTTTGTTCCAAATAACTTAACAGGAACCACTAGAAAGTTATAAATACTGCAAGGGCAAAAAAAAAAAGTCACACACTCTAATATTTCGTTAGACCACCTTTAGCTTTGATCACGGCACACATTTGCCGTGGCATTATTTCGATAAGCTTATGCAATGTCACAACATTTATTTCTGTTAAAGTTGCATTAAGTTTTCACCAAGATCTTGTAGTGATGATAGGAGAGTCAGACCACTTCGTAAAGTCTTCTCCAGCACATCCCAAAGATTCTAAATGGGGTTAGGGCCTGTGGTGTCCAATCCCTGTGTGAAAATGATGTCTAGTGCTCCCTGAACCACTCTTTCACAATCTGAGCCTGTTGAATCCTGGCATGGTCATCCTGGAATATGCCTGTGCCATGAGGGTCATTCACTATTTTTGGGGGACATAATGTTGCAGAACCTAGACATGACCAACTGAAGCAACACCAGATCAGAACAATTATCCAATGGAAGGCTCTTACTTATTAGGGTTCAACAAGTGCTGGCCCCACAAATCTGGTAGCGCAGAAGACAGAGGTAACTACTGGAGAACATGATTTTGCACTTGATGGAGATAGTTTATACATTACAGGAGGGACGGTACTGTCTCTTTCATTGAACCTAGAAAGAGTCTCGGAAACTTGCTGCTGTAGTGTGGAAGCAGAAATAATCTCTGAAGAAAAAAAATCTAACACTCTCCAAAAGGAAACTTGCTTCTGTAGAATGCCAGCAAAGCCTCTACAGAATGACAAATAAAACAGATTGCAGAGGGGAGGATACTCCTAAGCCAAAAGGCAATAGAGATCCCCTGCTACTATCAAAAGGTCAGCTAGGAAGACAACTTGAGCTACTGCAACCTTCAAATACAGGGAGCTTAGATGAAGCAAAAGGTTAGAGCTGTAACACAAAACATCCCAGTCTAGACAATACCTACCTAAAAATTCCCACAACCTTTTTGTGATCCTTATGAATGAGCAATATATATGGGGGAAAAAAGGTGTCTTGTGGGTCACTTACATCTATAAATGCATTCTTACTGAATAAGAGTGGTGTTACCTGCCTCCACTCCCCAGAGTGACAGAGTTAGTATGCCTGTACATGTGCTAATGTGTGTTCAAAAGCATTACAGTTGTTGATTGGGTATAACACCATTTACAGCTTAAACATTACAGTACAGAAAACAAGGCAATGATTAGTCAGAACAAAGCAAAAGCAACCTGTAGCCAACAAAATCCCTAACTGATCCCCCCCCATAACTAGACACTTGTGCTCATCCCTTATAAAGGACATGGAAGCACTGGAGGTTAAGGGTGGTGCTTTAACCTTCTTCATTTCCTGACTGTTACTTAGGTTGGAGAAGATCATTTCACTGCGGTGCCGTCATGGCCAGCTGTGGAAATTGCACATAACCATCTAACCATACCCAAACAAATCATTCGATGTACATACATACATATGCTGTAAGCATGTACACCCATACCCCCCACACAGCAAGCATTAAAATAAATGGTTAAAGGTAACTTATAGCAACCAGATTTATTCTTGCATTTGTTCAGAGCAGTCAGAAGAACAAAAGAAGATTGAGGTTTGGTTATTTTGGGAAGCTGTACTTTATACATTGATCTTCACCTGATTAAATCAAAGCTGCTGTAAGCCAGCAGAGGGTTGAAACAGACAAAAGAATCCTCATTTCTAGGGGGGGGGGGGAACAAAAGCCTCATATAACTGAGCGGAGCAAGTGAAAGTTTGTATTGACTCGATCAATTTAAATTGCATTCTGCAAACCAGACATTTTTCTTCTACAATTAAGGAGGGGCTGTTATTTCATAGTAAGATATGCGAGTTGGTCTCACTGCTCCCAAACAGTCTGAGAAGAACTTTCCTTTGCATTGCCATCTAAAATGGATCAGGTCTGTCGTTGCTACAGCAACATCCTTTCTGCTCGAATGTGCAAAGGGAATATAGCGACACCTAGAGGCAAAGGTGTAACGGCATTGTCGGCTTCTCCTCCTCATGGAGTAGATGCTCTTACAGAGTGTACAGGATTAATGTACAGGTTCACTGGAGAATGAAATGGTAACATACATCCTATTACACACAAGTGTCAATGTTACACATCAAAGCTCACTCACTTGCTACATTAGAAGACAGCGTAAGCCCTGCCTCTGTGTGGTAAGGGTGAACAGCGATCTGGGTCATCGAGGGAACTGGAGCCCCCGGAAAGGAGACGGCTGTAGCTGCGATGGTAGGAGTTGTAACTGTGTAGGGGTACTGGGCTCCAATGAAAGCTGGGTGGACGCCCTGCAAACAAAAAACAAAAAAAAAGGTAAAACAATCTAAGCAGGTCACCCAAAACCAGAGCTTCAACCCTCTACCCATATCCTCTGGATATCTGGATCCTTATATTGGGACAGCTCCCTTTCTTGGTCTCATCTATTCACTTTAGAGAATGTCATTACATATAAACACAATGTTTACAAAAATACAAAAATTTATTTTTACATTCAATAAACTGAATATAACACAGGAAAGGGAGTGTGAGGCAAGTGGGTAGCACCACACCACTAGAAGTAATAGATAAAGCAAACAAATGGCTACAAAGGAGCCTGGGGTTTTTTAGGTGCCACAAGAAGATACAATTACCAATTTATAGATAAAAAGCTTTATTATTTATAACGGAGCTAAAAACATGGTAAAGGCATATAATGGCCATATTGAATAATTAGTACATAGCAGATGTGGGATGAGCAACCATGTACATATCTTATGCCAATATTCACAGATTTGGGTGTATAGCAGGTAGGGATGCACTGATACCGATACTAGTATCGATATCGACGCCAATACCGAGTATTTGGGCGAGTACTCGTACTCTCCCAAATGCTCCTATGCCTAGCACGAGTACTTCCTGTATCAGGAAGTCGTCACTTGTGACGAGAGAGCATGGAGCCGACTTTCCGGCCAATCAGGAAGCCGGGCAGCGTGTAATGACAGGCTGCCCGGCTTCCTGATTGGTTGGGAAGCTGGCTAATCAGGAAGCCGGACGACGTGTAATGACGCAGCGCCCGGCATTCTGATTGGCCCGGGAAGCTGGCTTCATGCTCCCTCGTCATCTCATGACGAGGGAGCATGGAGCCGGCCTCCCGGCCAATCAGAAAGCAGGGCGTTTGCGTCATTACACGGCGCCCAGCTTCCTGATTGGCCGACCAGACGGCTCCGGCTGGGTACCGGAAGAAGGCCGCGTTCTAGCTGGAGAGGCCCCGGGGGTGACAGACTGGACATACCAAGGTAAGAGGGGACAGACTTTCTTGTTAATCGGGAAGCCAGGTAGCGAGTCTTTACACGCTGCCCGGCTAATCAGGAAGCCAGGTGGCGAGTCATTACACGCCACCTGGGTTCCTGAATGGGACTTCCGTTACTCTGTAATTGGTATCGGCGAGTACCGGGAAAAAGTTATCAGTACTAGGTACCAAAATACCGGTATCGGTGCATCCCTAATAGCAGGTTATTCTGAGGTTCGACGCATCTCACAACGCTACTATATGGTTGCTCAACAAAGTCCTGAGTAAAGAAAAAAATATTGAGAAAAAGGAAAAAAAATATAATCCCTTATATAACAAAGTTCTATTAGAATATATAATATATATATATATATAAACATTTTTGAATTATTCCACAGACAAAAAAAGCATGACCATATTTTAACAGTAAACATGAAGGAGTTAAGCCAAAGAAAATGAATAATCATTACGTCTTAAAATCAGATTACCTGTGTGTACAATGTCCCAGGTACTGGGAAGACGGTGGGTTGTGGCATTTGCTGCCGTGGAATTCCAATATACTGGGGATTACAGACTGTCGGTATATGCGTTTGTAGAGTGGAATAGGGGTGTAGTCCTTGGGTGTGAGCATGAGCCATTGCAGTATGCGGAGGGTATATTGTTGACCCAACTGAAATGACTGGGACCACAGTTGCTGCAGTCACTGCTGCTGCCACAGTCACAGTGGAGGTATCCTGTATTATCCTGTTGTCTGTAAGTCCACGCACAGCTTCTGCCACAGAACGTGCCCCTCCTGCAGTGCAGCCGGTGGCGCCTTCTCTCGGAACTGGAGTCCCACCAGCAATCTGTTCATACAGCCAGTACCACTGATGAGCCACTTCAAACAAGACCTCTGGGTAAACGCCTCCTCCCTTAGCAGCGTCCTCTACTGCCATACAGGCCTTCTCTAACATCAGGTTGTCCTGGGCAGAAAACAAAAAGCACTTCGTTAGACTGTAGTGTTCTGATATATGGTATAAGTTCTTTGTGTACACCTTATGCCCTATAGTCCTGATTAACTTGTGTCCAATAAAAACTGGAATCATATCACCAGATTCCTTCTGTTCTTTACTCATCACGACATATGAGAATGGAAGAAATCATCTGGTTTATCTGGCCTACACATGCTGTCCGGGACATTAATAGGTTAAAATACCTAAATAAAAAAAGTGACCAAAGCCACTTGTCCAATCACTTAACTTTAAGTTTCAGCTGTACTATATTTTAAGATTTGTAGGGGAACTAGTCTAGAAAAGTTCAGTGATGCATCAAGTAACACAAATACTGGTGGAAAGGTGATCTACGTTTTACAAGCTGTGCGCATTCCAGCGTTCAGGTTCTTAATCGCCTTATAAAGTCAGGAATACCCACAAGTTCATACACACCTGTTCCTTGCATTGTACCAGAGCTCGCTGGATCTCATTAGGGTTCAATGCATGGGCATGAGGGAGGCAGCTCAGAGCCAGTTCAGCTGCAGCTCGCACCATGTTAGAATCTCGGGCTCGAGAAGCTCTGTCTGCCAAGGATGCCACCTCTGGAGGAGTTAAGTGCCCATCCCAGCACTCCACAAGGATATTCAGGGCTGCACTACCAATCTCCATGGCTTGGCCTGAAATTCAAAGTTAGTCATTTTATGTACACACACAAGCAGAGAAAAAGAGCGGTAGCAAGAAAAAAAATCTTACCAAAAGCAGATTACTCTCATCTTGTCTTTCCAGCATATATCTTTACCTTAAAGAGGCAATCCACCAAAGACTAACACTTTAGTTATAAGAGAGCTTCTTGTAACAATAGGGTACTCCAGTGCTGCAACCATTTACATGCAGGTTTATCTGCCACATTTGTTTGTCAATTTATGGAGAAGAAAATGCAGCAAGGGTGCGTCTTCAGGGCAAAGCCGGGAATAGGTCCACAAGTGATAGAGAGACAATAGATGGCTTAAAAGACATATGTCTTTCCCCCGAAAATAAGACCTACCCCGAAATTAAGACCTAGTACCATTTCTGGGAACTGCTAAAATATAAGACCTACCCCGAAAATAAGACCTAGTTGTGACCGGTGGTGGCATAAGGGGGAACCACCAGGGGCCGGTGGTGGCATAAGGGGGAACTTGAAGAGCCGCGGGAGAGAATCAGTGGTGCCAACGAAGCCAGCGCTAGAGGAAGCGGGGCGGCAGCGCAGGGAGCAGAGCCGCATAAGCCGATGCTTCCTCTATAGCGCCGGCTCCTGTCACAGGCGGAGTGATACCAAATACGCTCTGTGAGAAGTCTATAGTGAAAGTGTGCTTTGCTTTTTCTGGTTACCAAATTGCTCTTGGAAAGGAACGGCACCCCCGATTGCCCTGATCACCCTATTCTTAACTTTGCCATTTTGGACTATTTAATTTAGATTTGCATTAACTTTGGATTGTTATACATTAAAAAACTAAAATAAGACCTACCACGAAAATAAGACCTAGTGTGTTTTTTTGAGCCAAAAAAAATATAAGACAGTGTCTCATTTTGGGGAAACACGGTAATATCAATTTAGGGCTTGTTCACACCATGTCTGGATCATGTCCTGACCAGAACACAGTTTTTTTCCGGACCAAGAAAACATCCCAATGTATCCCTATGGTATTTCTGAGCTCTGTTCACACCAACGCAGTCCGTTCCAGTACAGACAAAAAAATACTGCTTGTCTCATTTTCTCTGGTCTGGAATGCACTGGAACGCATTAAAAACACATACAAACACACTGGAACGCCCCTGAAAGCCTATTTTAAGAAACAAAACGCAGTAAAAATGCACGGCACTGCATTTGCAGATCTGCTCCAGACATGGTGTGAACATAGCCTTAGGATAAACAACCTTTCAGTTACATTTGCTTCGCTTAATATAAAGGAAGTAAAATCGGATTTTAGTCTCCCCCTTAGTTTCAGTCTGATATGGAGAATGCATGTTTACAATAATAATATAGCAGGTTTAATAATTTGGGTGAGAAAGGGGAGAAATAGTGGTGTTGTATTTCCCATAAAATGTTTACACTGAAAGTAAAAGAAATAAGGAATACATTTGGGTGCTGGACTACTTGAAAATGGCTGCCACATTAGAAGGGTTCTGTAGTAATGAAGTTAGTGGGCGGTTTTATAATACATCTCAGTGTATGCTTTCTTCTTCTCAGCCCTGCAGTGTGCAGGTCCTCCCCTTACCCCAGGAACACAATGTGCACAGAGCCCCAAGACATGGATGACTGACTTGCCTCTACAGGCTGCTGCACTGAGGAGGGGTTGCTGTCATAAAAGGGAGGAGAAAGTGGGCAAAGAGCTCAGAAATCTCAAGCTCAGCCAAAAGACATGCAAGGACTTGGGGAGCAGTGGTGGAGTATGCAGTGGCAGTGTCGCTGAATACAGAAAGGTGCAGTGCCTGGGGTGTAGGGAGGCAGGACGGTTCACAGACAAGGGTGCAGTCGTGGGTAAGTTGAATGGCAGGGAGATGCAATGTCAGAGTGCAGAGTGCCAGGGGTACTAGTTCTTTATAACCTGGAATACAAAAGTGGTCTACTTTTAAAGCTGCAGGGAACAAGATATAGTATAGGCACCTGGACCATATCACCTACTGATCTAAGGTAAGTGCAAGAGGGTTTAGTTGGCATGGGAAGGGAGGTCATAAGGATTATTTAAAAGTATATTTAGTCCTTAGGCCCCCTTCAGACCCATGCGTTACTGTAATGAGCGTATTACCACAACAGTAACACACGCTGTACACTCATGTGTCATTCATTTAGAATGGTGCATACTGCATACAAGTATTGTGTGTTGCATTAGGGCAGACATTTTATCAACAATTGGCGGCCAATAAATGGTAACCGGGAAACAAACATTTTTTAACACTACAAGGCACATGTGATGTGGTGCACTACAGTGTGAGTGCTTTTGCACCTACTGTACATGTACACAGTACAGTAGGTGCAACACCACTATTTCTCCCCTTTCCCGCCCAAATTATTACATGTACAGTAGGTGCAAAAGCACTCACACTGTAGTGCACCACATCACATGTGCCTTGTAGTGTTAAAAAATGTTTGTTTCCCGGTTACCATTTATTGGCCGCCAATTGTTGATAAAATGTCTGCCCTAATGCAACACACAATGCTTGTATGCAGTATGCACCTAAATGTGCAAAGTGTAAAGGTTGAGCTGCACTGCTGACCCTGATATGTGACCTATGAGGACTTAGAAGGGAATTTCACAAAATAGCAGGTATGCATCCACAACAGCCATACCCAGGGGGAAGCACACCCACATTGGTCTTTACAGCAGAGAAGTCTGTGTTGAAATGGTAAATGGCATTTAGTTTCTGGCCCGTCAACTCACATTACCTCCATACTCCCCAGATTCTGCTGTGGCTTACAAAAACACGTTAATTTCCAGCCTGCCAGCTCACACCACATGTGCTGCTGGCTCGGAGGATTGCATCTGGAGTTAAAGCAGGCAGCTCCTTGCAGAGGCACCACTAACCATCGTAACCTCTTCTCCCCCCCCCCTCCCGGTGACTGCACCGTCTCTTATTACCACTATGTTTGAAAACCTCCCACCACTGCACTTTCACAACAACCCCACCATGCTTTCCCAACCGCAGCCGACCTCCGTTCCATCCTCCTCCCGTCTCAACACAGCTGTACACCAACCCCCATTCTCACCAATGCGCCTGATCCACCATCCGCCCCCGACCAGCTATCACTACCCCTCCCACATGCCCCCACATCACTGGTCATTGTATCAACACACCTTATGCAATCGCTGCCACTGTACCAATACACACCCCTGTGCTCACCACCAGTGATGCCCCCTTCAGCAATTGGGCATATTTTTGCTAGTTTCTTACATGTAAATTAAAGAAAATATTAAGAAGAGGAAGTAAAGTGGTGAGGCAAAGCTAGAACAAAGTAGTGGTAAACGTGACAATTTTGCTTCCACTATCATATCACTTTAGTGTTTCTCACCTGTTATCCAAGAGACATGTGAAGAATATGTCCTAGAAAGCCAGTTTGGAGACACAAAATTGTGCAGGCCCAGGGCATAGAGGCCTATTTCAAAGGCACACAGGTGCAGGTTGCGATGGGGCCCTTGATGTCCACCACTGGATGAAGGATGCGTGAATATAGAAGTGCTGCTATTCCCCCCAGCTTTAATGAGGACTGTCTTTGCCAATTCAAAATAGAAGTGGGCAGCAGCTTCTGAAGGCTGATTAGGGACATGTGGAGCATGACTTTCTAGACGACGTCCCTTATACCTGGGTAATTGAAATCAAAATTATACACCAAAAACATTCCAACCTTATGGAAATAACTAGAGCTAAATAAAAATGAACACAGTTCTTACCTGCCCATCTCCACTGTCTTGGCTCTGGCTCCACCACTTGCTCTTCTGCTCCCACTAGAGGATGATGAACCAAGCGAGTCGCTGGATGAGCTACTGATGCTGTCACTGTCTTGTCCCCGCCCCCAGGGGGTGGCTCCCCAGCCTCCACGCAGTGGTCGGCGACTGAGGGTTGGGGAACTGTCAGATGTTGTCTCTGGGGCGCTGCTATCAATACTGGCCATTCCTACAGAGTGAAAATCAAGTCCACTCGTTTTAGATGATGAATACAGCCACACTAACAATTCTCTTTACATACCTCTGTGTTCATTTAAATATCTACTTTAGGCCTGGTTCCCACCTGGTTCCCACCGAAATCCCATTATTTCCTATGGGTATGGTTCACACCTGGGCGTATTACAGGCCGTAGGAACGCGCTACAAAACGCCCTACGCCCAAAGACGTACAGGAGCGTCTTTGGGGCGTTTTTGTCGCACGTTTCCATTGGGATGCAGCCAAGTAGCCCACGGAAACGCGCGGTTTTTTTAACCGCGAATCGCTGTAAAAACGCGCGACAAACGCGCATATTCGATACACCTAGGTGTGAACCCAGCCTTAGAAAGAGGAAGCAATCATGTCATTCAGATCATCTACCATTACATAAAGCGTCCTACCATTGCGGTTTAAAACCAGAAGATGATACTACTGGAATGACACAAGTTAAGTGCATGGTTTTTACAAATGTTTTATGCAAGCCCATAAAACACTGAATTACGTAAACAGGTTATTGTGACTGTGATAAAGATAGAATAAAATCAGAGTAATAAATATTTTAATATCAATTACCTGTATGTTTTTTTTTCTGGCGCACTGGAGACCCCCAACATCGACCATTATACCCTCCCCTGTTCCCAAGGGCTAGTCGGCTAGGAACTTTCGCTTCCTGCTTGTACACCTGTGCTTCCCCTGCAGGCTCACCGGAGGATTTCTGGGAGTTGTCTGCAATAAATACATGCATGTCAATGAATACAGAATACATATAATGGCTACACTGGATAGACTTCATTTATTTCCTTTTCTTACATGAAAGTTAACCACAAAAAAACACTGAATCTGGTTTATTTAACAAGGGAGCAAAGCTTGCTGTAATGCTGTAGAGCCTTGTGTACATGCTGTGTAACCCAAGGCACTGAATCTGAATTATTTGTTTTACCTAGAAGACTACAGTGAAATGAAACATAACTGGTTGTTTGGGTTACTGACATTGCAGTGACTTGTGTTGGTGTGTCCCATGAGTACCATGTAAATCTTAATTGTCAGCATTTTAATGGCATATTCTAGTAATTCCTGATTCTGTATAAAGTCTGTAAGCTATAACTGACAAGAAGTCCAAGCAATAAAAGTTATGTATGATTTCTTTGTAGAATGGGTTCATAAACCATAGGTTGAAAGTACACAAAGCAGTCTTGATAAAGCAATCTTAAAGTAACACTAAACTCAGGAGTTCAATCTTAAAAATGCATTCAAGCAGTTTACAGATGAACAAAAATGTATCTTATTTGTGTATCACTCGGCTGTAGACCCTCAAATCATTTTTGAACTGGTGCCGACACTGTCCTTCTATCTGGAGGGTGACTACTTTTGCTCCCCATGATCCCTGTGTGTGTTGTAAAGTAGCCACCACTACAAGCTTGTTCCCGTGATGGACTACAATCTCATGTTTAGTTTATAAATTTGTATTGAAGTTATAGTCTTATCACGAGAGCAAGCTTGGAGCGGTGACTAGGATATGGTCTGAGCTGCTGCGTCTACACAGGACCTCATGAACGTGCAGCAGTTCCTGTAAGCTGCTGTTACTCAATGGAAGAGGAGGATCCTGACAATATTGCTGGGATCGCTTCTGAGCACAGAGCTTAGCCCCGCCCACAGTATATTAGATTGAATTTTGAGCTTATAGTGCATTTTAGATTACAGGAGTACATTGCAAAATGTACTCCTGTATTATAGGGAAACTAAAAATGCAAAAAAAAGGAGTACCCCATAATTCTCGTTTAAGATTTACCATCTGAGTTTAGTCTCACTTTGAGCTTTTAATGTAACCATAGGAGAATGATCAAACTCAGGTAGCTTTAGATTTATTCTACTAAGGACGAATCAAACGAGTGTATCAAATAGTCAATATTAATAAAATCATACAGTAACAAGCACAGCTTAGAACAGATCAAATCGGGGGTCAATTGAGGATGGAAGAGATGTAGTTTTATCACATCAGGCTTTTAAAACTTCTGGGTTAATAAACTTTATCCCAGGCCTGGCTCTGAGATAATAGGACCAATTACAATATTCAACTGCTAGAAATTACCTTGAATGCTCTTCTCTGGAAAGTTCTCAGTTATTGTCCCATGAACTGCAGGGGTCACTCCTGGCTGTTGATGACTGGCTGGACCACTTGATATTATTATAGTTGTTGTGGACTGTGAGGCGTGCTTAGAAGGAGACTTCTGATTGGCTGTTGTGGGTTTACTGGAGGAGTAGAAGGAGCTCAGAGTTTGAGGTTTATGAGTCTGACTTTCTCGATCCAAGAGCTTATCCAGTATCTGGTAAACGTGCGGTAAAAAGACAGAAAGGAGTTAGCTCTTACTTACAAGTTCAGTAATTAAGCTGCACAATGTAAAAAAAAACCACCTCCCCATTTAGTCATTAAAGGCACATACAAACAGCAAAAACATCATGCTGACATCAAAGCATGATGCAAGTTTAAATCTTAGAATAAAACGGCAAACAATGAGAAAATAAAACAGAACTCGATGGGTATGTCTGAAGGGAAATACTGGCCCTTGGAATTCTCTAAAACCAGAAAATGATATGCTCTCCATAACTGTCCACATACTGTTCTCTTTCCTGTCACTCAACTTCCTGTCCAATCTGACCAAGGAGCACCAGCCTTATAATGCTGATCTATCTGAGGACTTCAGCAGCATGTGGAAACTTCCTTCCACTATCATGAAGTAGTCATACTGCTCAAAGTGATAGCTGGCATAGCAACCACATTTGTGCAGAGTGACTTGACAGAGTTACAGATTGGATATTCACTGAACTAGTCAGCAACACCAATATCTTACAAGTAGTACGCGGTGATTCCAAATGACAGAGCTATGCGGGGGTGAACAAAGAAGAAAAAGATGGTTTAAGATATTCCACCAAGCTAGTTTAGGCACTCTGTCTCCAGAGAGATTAAACCTCTTAGCATTTGAATAAACACTTGCCACACTTAACAAATCAGTCTACTCATGTTGTATTATGTTTAGTTGTATTTCTAGGCAACTACTGCAACTCCTTATTTTAAGCATAAAAAAGACAAACAATACAAATACCAGATGTTATGGCTGCACTGACTAGACCTCTCCAGGATGCAGACAAGCGACCATTAAATAAAGGGAGATTTACCAGTTTGTAGCTGGGAGGATGTCCAGGTGGAGAAAACCAAGAGGGTAAAACCTAAAAAGCTCAATTACATGAACAGATCTCCCTTTCTGCCTAGAGTATTTCTTACAATGCTTTCCCCAGTGTTTGCATTCCATTAAACTTTATCAACCTTCTGTCCTTAATAATAAGCACCGACCCCATTCTTTGTAGGTCACATGTTGTATATACTTTTTTTTAATTACCTTTATGCAATTCAGTTTTTACTTCTAACACATTACATAGAAGTTCAAGAAAATAAACATACATTCCTCCACCTTAATGAATTAAAGACAATTCCCCGGGATGACTGCACCATGTCCTGACAATATTGACCTTGCAATGGACAGACAAAATGTGCCAATCTTGAGATCTAGTTGTCACAATGAATATTTGCCAGAATAGTTTTTTTAATTATAATATAAGTATAGTAACATTTCAGTGTTCAGGGACACATGTTAGAGCTATAAAGTAAATAGCTGAGGGTGAACGATCACTCTGCCTCAGGCACAATAAACCCAGAAACAGCCCAGTCTATGAACACTCTTCTGTGCTAACAATTTTCATTAGTCACCACTGGGCAATATGCCTTCTGCATCATTACAAATATATCAAATAATTACAATAGCAAAATTAGTGCAATAGCATCTTAAAAGACCTCAGAGAACTAAAACCCCAATTACACATTTTTCAGCTCAAACTCAAAGCATCATTAGAACTGAATCTACAGTGAAAATCAGTCTCTACCATGAAGTTGGCAATGGCTGACAACAAGAGACAAATCTTGAAGAACAGATTTGGCAAATGTACACTTTGAATACAGCACACTGTTCTGCGCAATATGCTTTCTTCTGCATGCTTCTCTTTGCAAGCCTTCTTTTAGAATGCCCCTTTGAAAAATTCTGTGCTGGACCCTGAACACCCCTTTAAGTGACACTAATCTCAGGAGTTACATTTTAAAAATGTATTCATGTACTCTATTAACAAAAATGTAGCATTTGTATATCGCTCGGCTGTATATCCTTAAATCATCTCTGGATTCATGCCGACACTGTCCTTCCTTCTCGAGGGTGGCTACTTTTGTTCTCCATGGTCCCTGTGTGTGTGCTGTAAATTAGTCACCGATCCAAGTTCACTCCCGTGATGGACTACAATCTCACGTTTAGTTTACTAATTTGTATTGAGATTGTAGTCCATCACAGGAGAGAGCCTGGAGATGATTTGAGGGTCTACAGCCGGGTGATACACAAATAAGCTACATTTTTATTAATAGTTGAGGTACTTGAATGCATACAGAGAGTAATTAGACACCCTCAGAAGAGAAGAGGGCTGTGATGTAAAAGGAGGCTGTGCTAGGGGAGCAGTCACATTTCTTTAGCAAGTTCAAATGCACATTGCAAGTAAATAAAAAATAATTTATGGACAGGAAAAAATACTGCAAGTAAGCGTTTAAAATACATGATTTTTCTGTACTTCTGTACCTAAAAATGTGTATGTTGGCTAAAGTATCCCAGAACATCCGTGTGAAAGGAGCCTTGAGAGTGTTCTCCACTCTGTATTCAAAAGTCAAACTGGGTCACTTACCTAAAATCTTATTTGGTCTTTTTCATGCAGCATGCCCATCTTTGCACATTGCCCATCCTACACTTGAACATACAAGTCATATTGATATTGTGGTTTTGACCATGGAAATACCTTTTTTAGCTTAGACTGATCATCTTTGTAGGTAATCATCAGAGCTAATGCCAAGTCACCCTTCTCCCTTCTCGTTCCTTCACAAAGCAAAGGATGCTCAGCTTCACTGACTGTGGTCTTCATGCCTGTGGAAAAGAGAGAGTCAAGTTGAAACAAAAAAAAAAAACCCTCTAGTTTCACTATGTTTACCTTTATGCACATTCAGGGTAAGAGGAAAGACAAGAATGTGCATTTTAAAGCACCCTAAATATATAGCAAAATACTAGAAATAAGGACCCCAGAACCAAAGAGGCTTAAAGTGAACTCCAGCCAGGAAAAATACCATCAGTAAAGAATATTGATAAAGCTTGCAACACATTGCAGAAAGGTATTTCTTTGAGATAATTCAAGTATGACATTTTGGTCAGCAGCAACAGAACACAACATTGATTTAAGACTTGATAAACATATCTAGATGTTTTTTCAAGATTTCACGCTTATCAGGAACTGTGAAAAAAACTGCTTATGTTAAAAGGTAAAAAAATGGCAACTTCACATAACCGATAATATATATTTTCTTCATCCGCTGAATAGGACATCTAAAACCCAACCATCAGTCTTAAATCTGAGCTCTTTCTATAACCTTGGCTAATTTAAGATATTATCTCAAAGAAATACCTTTCTGCAATATTACGTGAAGGTATTTTTAAACCAATGAGGTTTATTTCAAGGTGGCTTAGAGGTAAGGGCCTACTAAACACAGTTTTGGATCAGTGTCCTTACTCATCCAGTTTACTGTCACACAATAAGACCCTGTAGTTTACAAAGATAAAAGGGGCACAGAGTTCATTTGCTCCAACAATCCATAATTTATGGAAGCGCTTGATGATGCCAGAGTATAGTGAGAATGTCAGGACTCGGCCATTCTTCAAATACATAGCTGGTTTGTGTTTCAGCATATCACTGTTCTAATGGAGACCTTGTAATCAGCCCTACTAAGGTCATTTGTGGTCTTGAAGTAAAAAAAAAAAAACAACCCAACACGTGACAGTAATTGATTATCTTGTTAGCTGAAATGAGAGGTCATTTCATTCAAGGCCGTTTCTGTCGTCATAAATAATGATAAAACAATTAAGTGTGCTGATGACTGACCAATAAACAGGCGCTATATGTACAGCATACAGAGGAATTAATTGGTGCACAATGTGATGGATTCCAAACCAAGTTGCACGACAATGGGAACATGTACTGTATGTATACAGGACAGTGGAAAAGACACTCTGCTTTCCAATGGCACATTGGCTCATCGGACTGGAAACTGTTGGACGAATGCTTTGGCTTTCAAATTTGCGAGGGACAAACTGGTGCTATCCATATACCAATATTCTGTACCAAGTGGATACGCATGTTAAGAAGGTCTGTCCACCCAAACTAGCATTTCAGCCATGGCTCAAACTTGG